TGTCACACCAATAGATAGGCAAATTGCAGTTAGTGGGTTAGAAAAGTCAGATAAGATATCTATCATGTGCATTCATTTAAACACCACAAATTTTTTAAATGCTTCCAAAATACTGTGGATGCCAACATATCTCTAGGCATCAGTTTCCACATTCTGTTCTGACAAGATAAAGAAAGGAGCAAGTAATAGATTGACCTCATGATAGCCATTTGGGGTTATTAGTAGAAAATAAAATACAAATATGACAGATTTGTGCTTATCCTGCCAAGAAATCTCCTGCCTAGAGGTACTTTTTGTTTAAAGAAAAAAAGAAAAAAAAAAGAGTATCAGGTTATATTACTCCATTTTCTGAATTGAAGGCCAGAATTCAGAAAGTCCAGATTATTGAATTAGTCTCTGCACCATCATAATAAAGCAAGCTCAAGATTTTCCCAAAAGTTAGAAGGTGCCAATGATACATTTTTTGCTATGAAATGTTCACGGTACTTTAGGAAGTTTCTTAATGGTACATGATTTATTTCTGTTTAATCTATGTTCCTGTTCAATATTTTCAGTTTTATGAATGTCAGTATGTTCTTACATTTACAGTCTCTCTTGGATTATAAACTCTGAGAGAGAGAGACTCTATTTTATAGATACACCATGCCACCAGACCCTTGGAAATTCTTAAATTAGAGCAAATAGTGATTTAGTTAAATTATCATTGTGTTTTGTCTTAAACTGTAAACTAAGGGTACTTTTTAATCCCCCTGTGTGGTGGACATGATTAAATAAGATGAGGGCCAGGCCTTTGCACAGTGGCTAGCAATCCATAAATCTCCATTAAATATCAGCTCCAGGTTTCATACTGAGACAAGTATTGAGAATCAATATTTGGGCTGCTCATATCTGGAGCACACCCACACTCCCCCCTTGAGTATGTACTTTACTTTATTTCTTTGTTAAAAAAAGAAGTCAGTATTTGTGCTTAAAATTAAATGTGTGAAGTACTAAGATCCTTTCCCTCATAATGATATGGTGAAAGTGGGAGAGTACAGAGCAACCTCTTTAAGCACAGGCTTTAGAGCCGCACGTTCAAGAATTTAGACCCCAGCTCTACTCAGATGTGTGATCTCACACAGGTTATCTAACTCCCTTATCATCAGTTTTCTTATCATAAAAGAGCTATTTTTAGGGTCCCTATATGAGTATTAGACATAATGCTTGTAAAACACCGAGTGTGGTATTGGGTGCACAGTCAGCATTTGATAAATAGTAAATTCTAGGGGGCCCTCTATCCATGCTGCCTCATCTCAAAAGGTTCCTCAAAATACTTTCCATTCTTCTATACATAGCTCTTTGTCTAATAATCTGAATTCCTTTTTCGTATAGTTATATGCACATTTATGTAATGTCTATATTACTAAAAATAATTAATTTTTTATTACTAAAAAAAACAACTCATTAAAATACAGTCAAATTTTTCAATGGAAATGCTTTGTTAATGAAAACTATCAAAAATTGGAAAAAGGAAAAAAAAGTATATAACAAGTCCTGTCAGTATTATATGGTTTGAAGGCCTACCCAAGGATTGTCTAGGGCATGCCATTGTTTAATTTACTATTTACTGCTGATTAAAGGTCCCAGACTTCATGATGGTATCATGACACTTAGAGATTTTTGTCCAATAGAGATGCAAATAATGTCTCTTATGTAGAACAGATAATCTAAAGGGTTTTGCTTATTGACCTGTAGGCTATGAGCCAGTTTGCTGTATCTAGTCCAGCAATCTTATCCTAACATTCCTTTTTTAAATTGCCTGTAAGTACCTAAGTCCTCAAATGCTCTTTGAACCTATCTTAACATCTTCCTAATTCCCTCATCAATAAATGAGTAAATAAACTCTTTGACATGGGTTCATTTTAGATGTGCATGTGAGTCATGATTTTAATTTTTGTTAATTATGTTAGCGCTAGGAAAACTTATTAGGAAAATAATTACCATAATCTTTTACAAAATGAAAAATTATTTGGCAATGTGAATCATCACATTCTAATTCAGTTGCTAAATCAGTTCAGAGTTTTTCTATGTGTTTTCTTGTAGCTGGGCATTCTTGTGTTCAGGCCGTTGACATGATCGAGCACAGCTGCCACTTGCTGCAACAAGATAAGCTGGAGAAGTTCTAAAGTCTCTTCTACAACTGTATTCACAATGAAATAAAAATCAATCTAACAATTGCTATGGGCTTCCTTTCCTTTGCTTATTCCACTCTTTATTGATGGTCTGAGCGATAAGGCTCACGTCACCACATGCTCACAATGTCTGGCTAGCTTAGCACATATGAAATACAGTTTCATTCCAGTTTTCCTGCCAACAGGAGAGAATAAACAAAGCTGGACTCTGAAGGAGTGGGCTTATTGGTAGAAGCTGCTCTGTACCTTGTTAATACATAATGCTCATCGACACAGGGACCATTTGGTAACACTTGGAGCCAAATTTCTGCTTAATTCATGGCTGCTTTAAGCCATATGAACTATCATGGGTGCACATACCCAAGGTTTGAAAGAACGAAAAGTGTGGGCAATGCAGACTTGAATTTAAAATTTGTGGATAATTCACAGTCTAGTGATCCACATTTCAATGGACAAAAAGTTGAGTTACAGGATGAATTCAGTAAGCACAAAATAGGAAAAACAGAAAAAACAAATGGTGGGATTATTTTCTTCATAGAAGGATTGTCCACTGTACAAAAAATGTATAATAAGGCCTTTTAGGAGCAAAACCCCCTAGGACTCTAAGCTTTTCTTTTCCTTCCTTCCTTCACTGTTTCCTCTCTTGCTCAGTACATATGCCTAGAGCAGCACAGTAGAATGAGCAAGGCTTTGATGTGTGACCTCACAGAAAGCTATTCATCTCCCCTGGCTAGGATTTTGGCTGAGTGGGCCTAGTGGAATCTTCAGACTCCATTAAACTCTATCCGATGACTTACAGACAACTTTCAAGAGGACCTATTATGTAACATATTCCTCAAGTAATGTGAGGAAAGTAATTGTCAGAAAACATCCAGATCCTCAGCTCACCTAAGGAGGAAGGACCGTGTTTTGGAATGGATGTACTCAGGCTGCTAACTTGTTCTGTCCCAGAAAACATAGTTAAAAAGAACACCAGATGAAGGAAGCTTTAGGGCTTCCAGTCAGAGCTTTACCAAAAACTTTGTCCGGCCTTGAGCATGTCACTATGCCTCTATAAAATGAGAACTCAGACCAGATCTCTCTCCTAGTGCTAATTTTCATTACCCACCCAATTTACAGATATTTAGCCAGTTGCAAGGGTAGCTAGATTAAGTCTACATTTTCCATTTATTGGTACTGCAAACAGGCACACATCCTAGCTATGGTACTCACAAGCAGTGAATACTTAGGACAAGTCACTTAAACTTGTAAAACCTCAGTGTTCTTATCTGTAAAATGCTACTTATAGCATATATTTTGAAGGTTAAATGGCTAAATATATTTAAAATGCCTAATATAGTTAAATAATATGTACCTTTGTTCAGTAAGTAGTTGTTTATCCGGTTGCAGCCATGGTCTAGTCAAGCTTCCAAGCTAAATGAAAAATATTGCATAATTATTTTTTTAAATCTATTTTCCAAGTGTGTATGCTCTTTTTCCATCTGGTGCAACTCACTCATAACTTCAAGATCTCCTACTAGAATTGAAATCAAATTTTGTATTTCACAACAATTCTCTCAGGAGTGTGTAAAGATTAGCCATATCATACTTGTAATCTTTTATTACCCTGCAAATCAAAAATGTGAGTAGTATGGACTTTCAGAACTCAATTTGAGTTTCAATTTTTTAAATTTAAACATCATGTGTAAGATCTCAAAAAGCATGAAATTCACATTATGCAATTACCACATTTTACAGGTTCATTTAAAAAAGTTTGTTGGGACCGTCATCCAAAGTTGTCAATAATTCTAAGCTTAACTATTGAAAGCATTCAGCTTTAGATACTCAATAGTTATTTCCACTTAATAACATGCTGTTCTCCAATTTATCAGTCGCCAGTGCTTAACTCCAGCTGTTATAGAACTTTTGAGGAAAAAAAGAATCTCTCTTTAATGCATTGTGTCCAAAGGCCTTAGATTTTGAGGATTAAATAAATGTTCAAAGTCATAAAGACAGGGGTGAAGATAATAATAGTACAATTTATTGAATATCTACTTCTTATTTAGCACTCACTATGGATCTGACATTATTAAGTACATAAGCATTTAATTTAATATTTACATACTTGATTTGACAAGTACCAAAGATAAGCATTATTTTTCACTTTTCACACAGGGAAACAGGGTCAAGGATGTCCAGTGACTTGCCCACAGTTACAGAGCTCCCAAATGACAGGGCTGTGAGTGTTTCTGGTCTAGAGTCTGTGCTCTGTCCACAATGTCGCACTCTTCATTAACAAATTACCATAAAGCTCTGGAGCCTCATCTTCATGTCCACCCTACCTTCCTACTTAATCACAAGCTGTATGTCTACTGGCTGTCCTCTGGGAAAGAGGGGGAAACAACAGGGGAGAGAACTGGGTACCAGGAGATGGAATGTGATCACATCATCATCCCACAGTGGAGGTTCTTGAAGCTATTGCACATTCCAGAGCAGGACATGACCAGCCTTAAGCTGTGCAAAATCTTGGAGTGATGCTGCAGATAGGGAGTCCAGCCAGAGGTGTTGTGGGAATGGCGAATATGGGGTGGTGGTGTGTTGGGAGCCGGGGCTATGTCCCTTCCCCCACGTCTGAACACAGCATGGGAAAGCACAAGCTTGAGAGCAACCGGTGCAGTCCTTGGAAGTTATCTGCTCACAAAAACATATCTTGTCCTTGAAGATGAGCCAAGACTCCTCACTCTGAAAATAGGGAGACCTTGAGGATGTGTGAAAACACCTCCCCGCCAGCGCCACCTAAGGTCCCATTATCTCCTGACCCACCCCTTACTTGCTACTTGTATAAATTGAGCCTGTAAACAATAAACTTCGCCAGCTTGATCAGACATCCTGTCTTGCTGGTCATTCTTTGTGTCTCTTGCTTGTCTCATTTCTGCAGGCGTCTCCGGTACACTCCACGTTCGTCCCGTGGGCCGGGACAGTAGTGATGGTAAAATCTGAATTTGAGCCAGGGCCCGTGGTGGCATCTACCAGCTGAGCTTGGGGTGGAGAAGGAAGGGCAGAGCTCAGATCTCTGGTGTGGTGAGAAAAGAGGAAACGATCAATTTATAGAGAGAAGAGGGGCTCAGTTATGGCCATGTCCCTGGGGCAGGGACCAAGGAACATCCTTCCCTACTCATCCCGGGCTCCTTGCTTGGGAAGGGGCCTCTAGCATCCTCTGAAGGATTAAATTTTGAGTCCAGGCCGAAGCCAGAGAGAAACAAGGAGAAAAGGAGGAGCCACATTGGAGGCAAAGCCCACAAGATGGAGCATTGCCGGGTCCTAGAGGAGACTGGCAGGAGGGGTCAGCATCCAGGGTTTTGAAGGTCAAGTGTCAGTAGGAGAGGGGCTATTTCCCGACCTTCCTAGGGGGCAGGTAGAGGGAGGTTTTCCTTCTAGAAGGCAAGTGGGGGAAGCACTGAGAAAAATCCCTAAAGGACAGCAGGGTGCTCGCAGAAAGGGGCATCATTTCCCAGCTGGATCCACCCCAGGCTGCAGAGCCCACAGGTCCACAACCACCCCGGCATAGGAGCCACGCTCGGGGAGACCATTCTCGGGGTGGAGGTGGCACATCCTCTGAGGAGAGGCCTGTGGCATGCTTGCCTTTACAGTCTTCTCCCCATTCTGGGGAATAAGGGAGAGTTCCTGAACAACTGCTCCCATTTTAAGAGATTCCAGAAGATAGGAGGCCACATCTGTCATGTGTCTAAGAGGAGGATGGGGGACACCATGGCAGGGTTCTCCAGGTCTCCATGGCCCTTAGAGGATACGTGCTATCGCCCTTCTCAGTCCTTGGCCCCATAAGAAGGTACACAGAGACCAGCAGAGGGGCAGGAGCCCTAGGAGCTGCTCGGGCAGCCCAACTTGAAGAAGAGGACTTTAGAGCTTTTACTCCTGGCAGCAATGAAAGGGCCTAAATGAAGCTAAACTGTGACCCCCTAAAAGCCACCAATAGTCCCTATGCAGAGAACACCTTATCAACAGAGCAGAGACAGGGACAGGCTCAATCAGCATGAGCACAGGACCCCTCTCTGCCCTGCTACTCAAGTGTGACCCTCTGACAGGCAGTATCAGCAATCAAAATAGAATTTGGTTAACAAGACAGAGTATTTCATTATACTTACTTATTTACATATTATCCTTGTTTCCTGTCTTTTGTTCACACTCCAACAGCACATGGTGACTCTGCCATAAACTCATACTGAGAATCTGACAACTTCTCATCACTTCCATTGTTGGTAGCAACCGGGCCGATCTATGAGAATGGAAGTCAGATTCCCGTCATTCTTCTGCTTAGATACTGTCCATGACAGTCACAAGCAATGCAGAGTCTCAGGCCCCACCCTCAACTTCCTGATCAGAATCTGCTTTTTATCAACATCAATAGGAGATTCATATGCACATGGAAGTCTGAGAAACACCACTGTGAATCATGCATCTGTCACCAGTTGGGGGAGCAGAGCCCCCTCTCCCTTCACATGAGCACTGTAAGACCCCACGGGTGTTCAGGGTCTGAGCAGAGGCAAGGAGGGAGTTCTAAAGGGACAAGATAGAAGAGTGTGTTAAGAAAGTCCACAGAAATTCTATCAGGTCACCAGGGGGTAATGCCAGGGAGAGGGGAGAAGAAAAGTTTAGGTGAAGTTTAGGAATGAAATTTTCTAACAAATGGTCTTAAATAGTCCAATAAGACTGTTCCAGTAACCAGACAGGCAGGAAATAATATGAAATGTGGCCAAGATGTTTTTAAGGACAGTTCAACAGAGGACATTTGAAATCAGTAATAAGAAAAGAATACAAGCAGTCTATGTTTTTATGCTCAATACACTGAGAGCTTTCAGGAAGCACTTTATCAGTCAGTCATTCACCCACCAAACATTCATTAGAAATCTAAATGCCGGACGCTGTGCTAGCTGCCAGGATGCAAATAAACAAGACGTGGGCCCAGGGGATTTAAGGACGAGTGTGTGAGACAGTTACTCCTTCAGCAAATATTAGCTGTTACCCACCTTGCTCTAGGCACCATCATGATTGCTAGGAATATAAATGCACAAAATAAGCAAAATCCTTCTTTCGAAGCTTACATTCTAGAGGAGGAGACAGATAATACCCGAAATAGGTCAGTAAAGTGAATAGGGTGTGGGATAAGGGCTAAGAAAATAGAAGGAGGCAGCAAAGATAGAGAGGTGCAGCATGGGGAGGGGGCAGGGGTGGCAGTTTTCTAGAGGGTGGCTGAGAAAGAAGCACGGATTTGAGTGACCCTGGAGAGTGAGAGGGCACACCCTGTGGGTGTCTGGAAGGACAGCACTCCGGGCAGATGGAGCAGTAGTTCAAAGGTTTTTCTGTGCCAAGACCAACAAGGAGGTCACTGTGTGGCTGCAGCAGGAGGACAGGTAATGGCCAGAAGACATGGGTGGGAGAGTAACACTGGTTGGTAGAGTGGGTCTCAAGGGCTGCCGTGAGGACCTGGGTTTTTCCTCGGAGTGAAAGGGGAGTCATGGACAGTTTCTAAGCAGAAGAGTGATGGGTATCTGACTTCCATTCTCATAGATCAGCCTGGCTGCTATGAACAATGGCAGTGATGAGAAGTTGTCAGATTCTGGGTATGAGTTCGTGGTAGAGTCACATTTGCTGTTGGAGTGTGAACAAAAGACAGGAGACCAGGATAATATAATATGTATACAAGTAAGTATAACGAAATACTGTGTCTTGTTAACCAAATTGAATGACTTAAATCTCATGTAATTCCAAAGAGCTCTACTCTTGATCCCAGCACATCAGGCCCACTCTGGGCAGGACGTCATGCTAGAACAGCATGGTCTATAAGCTGCACAGAGAGCTCTGTACACCAAGTGAATGCCACACAGCTTCTCTGTTGTGATGAGGAAAATGAAATCACAGGATGTTCTCATTTATCATTTGTCTGCTTTTTTGGACCATTAAACCATGTGTTGGATATTTCTTACATTTCTGCACAGTGCTCTGAGGCTATAACTTCTGGAGACCTGATAATCCCCTCTTTGGAGTTTGCTGAAGGCAGGGGAAGGTACTACTGATGAGGTTTCTCTTATTGACTCCTTCTATACCAGCACTAACTCAAAAGCTGGTGTCCAAAGCCTCTTGGGTTCTTAAACTCTCTTCCGTCCTAAAACTACTTTCTCAAGGTGGTTGAACTTAAAACATGGCAAATGCCTCGAGGGAAAGTTCATCCCAAAGTAAACTAAATCTGAATTATAAATTTCTAAATACCCGATCATAAGTCTCAGTTCTTTTGAGACAATGTCCTTCCTGACATCCTTTTCAAAAGAATCTATAATCCACAAACTTGAAGATCCAAAGGAATTTACATTTTAAACATCTAACCACAAGGTGGAGATCTAAAGCAAAGATTAGTTTTCATAGCAGGGCTCAATTTAGAATCCAGAACTTAGAGGAGAGCTGTATGTGTTCTCAGATTTTGCCAGAAATTGACTTATTATTTTAAGCTAGAGGAAAACACAATGCTTATTTGTCAGTGTTCTTTCATACAGATTAGAAATATACAGGGCATGCAAATACTTCAGAAAGCTCCAAGCAACATAACCTCAGGTGGCACAGTGGAGACACTGATTTGAAATTTCAAGCCTTAAATCTTAAGTAGGGAGAACACTATTGTCCTTTCATTTGATCATGGGTACATTTAACAAGGGCTAATGGGATTATTTTAGTCCAGATACTTTATGGCTGATAATGAAAACCAATTCCCTTTAACACCACAGAGAGCAGGGCCAGGGTAGCGGTTCAGAAGTTCTAAACCATGAGTGTGACTAATTTTTAGTCACCAGCTTTATTTCATTGGTATACTAGTTATAGAACTGATTTACCAAGTGAGCCTTGGGGACAGGAGAAAATCCTCACTTCCATTTTAGATGAGCAGTTTTTATCAGTTAGGTCAATTATACACCAAAAGCACTTGTGTTTGATTCACAGAGTATCTCCCAGGTTAACTCTTCTGCACATTTCATTATTTTAAAAATAATCCAGATTCGTTTGGCTTCTTATAGTGTGAATAATTATTCTTCCCTATAGAAACAAACAAAAAGCAATTGAGAAAAGCTAAATAATAAACAGAAAATGTGGTATGATCTTTTCTCAGTTTTTACTCCCATTTTACCTTATGTTAAAGAATGACAGAAGTAAATTAAACTACTCTCAACTGCCGCTAAAATTCTGGGTAGTGTAACTCCTTAGAAGTTCTGCTATTATTTATCATAATGAAAGAACCCATTAGTGGAGATTGTTTTACTCCTTGTTTACCCAGGTTCTAAAATCTTCAATCTTCTATTTATTAAAGGTTTGGATCAGCCACACCTTAAAAAATTAAAAAGGAAGGCAATCACAAGCTCAAATATTGTTGCTTTCTGCTACTGGATGGGAATTTCCCTTCATTACTTAGCACTGATTTATCTCAGTCACCTGTGTATGCTACAATTAGTAGAGCAGAGTTCCAAGCTGTTTTTATTTAGATAAGCATCAAAGGTTGGGATGCTGATTTGTACTTGAGAGACCTTTGATCGCGTGTACCTTGATTTGGAAACCAAATTGGAACTCTAACAAGAAAGATTTGTCTCTTCCTCTACTTTCTGGTCTCAGCAAGTCAGGAAATACCAAGAGCTGGCTTCCTGGTAGTTTAGAACTTCGGCTTCCTGTTCTGGTGACGAAAGCAGAAGTGGAGAAACATGAGAATGTTACCAAAAAGCACACTGACCTTTTGCAGTCAACCACAACATCCAGGTTAAATTTTGTTCCAGTGTTGCTTGTTTACTTAACCATCACAAGCTTACATGACACCATCTCAAACCACAACAAAATCTGAAGACGTTCAGGTCACCGTGCACTGGCTGCTTCAGCGGAGATCCTGAAAGAGTGGGAAACATTCTCCAGGAGTGGCAGCTGCAAAGCAAGCATGCAATCATGTCCCCCAGATAACCAGACACAAGCTAAGATAGCAAAAGAGATGCTCAATTCTCAATTCCCCCAGGCAGTGGTTCTCAAACTTTGTGTGCATCAGAGTCACCTGGAGAGGTTGTTAAAATGCAAATTATGGGCCCCATCCCACTGCCACCCCAGTTTCTGATTTAGTAAGTCTGGTGTGGGGTCAGAGAATTGGCATTTCTAAGTTACTAGATGATGCTGATTCTACTGATTTGAGGACCACACTTGGAGAACCACTGCTTTTGCTGATTTTGCCCATGAAAATGGGGAAACACTTAAACGTTAGGAAATGTTGGGATCTCATTTTAAAGAGGAAGTGAGCCAGGAGTACAAGGCTTAGATTCAGCCACACTTGGGGTCTGAATCAAGATCCGTCCAAAGCTGCGAGTCCAGGCAAATTGTTTCACATCCCTAAATCATCCTTTCCTCACCTGTAGAATGGGGGGCATTCATCATACCTGTTTCTAAGAACCAAATGAGATATTGTATGCAAGGTGCCTGGCACGTGGTACTCTGTAAGTGGTTATTTTTATCACTATTAGTATTAAAAAAAGAAAGAAAAATAGTTCATATGTAGGCAATAATCCCTGAAATCTAAGCACAGGAGAAATTCTGGCAGGATACAAGATGGGTTTGTTTTCTATTCAGATTGAGTTAAAAGATAGTGATATAGTTTAAAGAACAATCTCTCCCTTTTAAAATAAAAATTTCTCATAATATCCCCAGTTGTTTCTTGAAAACTATACCTAATTCCCATTTCCTTATTTCTATCTTAAAGCTTACTCAAACACTGGCTTCTTTTTCTTTAATAAAAAAATTATTTTGATATATATTTTTATTGAAGTATAGTTGATATATAATATTATATTGGTTTCAAGTATACAACATAGTGATTTGACAGTTAGATATATTATTAAATACTCACCCCGACTAGTATAGTTACTATTTGTCAACATAGAGATGTTACAGAACCATTGACTATATTCTCTATGCTGTACTTTCATCCCTGTGACTAATTTATATAATGACTGAGATTTTGTGCCTCTTTATCCCCTTCACCTATTTCATCCACCTACCCCTACCCCATCCCCCTGGTAACCACTAGTCTCTTCTGATGTCTGTGAGTCTGTTGCTGTTTTGCTTGGTTTTGTTTTTCAATTATACATATAAGTGAAATCATATGGTATTTGTCTTTCTTCACCTGATTTATTTCACTTGGCATAATACCCTCTAGGTCCAGCCATGCTGTCACAAATGGCAGGATTTCTTTGTTTTTTTTTATAGCTGAATAATGTTCCATTGTGTATATGTACCACATCTTCTTTATCCACTCACCTATTTATGACTTTCGTTGCTTCCGTATCTTGGTTCTTGTAAATGTGTGGCAATAAACATAGGGGTGCATAAATCTTTTCAAATCAGATATTTTACTTTCTTCAGGTCAAGTCCTAGAAGTGGAATTCCTGGGTCTAATGATATTTCTATTTTTAATTTTTTGAGGACCCTCCATATTGCTTTCCATAATAGCTATATCAATTGACATTCCCATCAACAGTGTAGGAGGGTTCCCATTTCTCCACATCCTTGCCAACACTTGGTATTTCTTGTCTTCTGGGTAGCGGCTATTCTGACTGGTGTGAGGTGATATCTCATTGGGGTTTTGATTTGCATTTCCCTGTTGATTAGTGATGTGAAGCATCTTTTCATTGCCTGTTGGCCATCTGTATGTCTTCTTTGGAAAAATGTCTCTTCAGGCCCTCTGCCCATTTTTTAAATTTGGTTGTTTTTTAGGTGTTGAATTATATGAGTTCTTTATATATTTTGGATGTCAACCCCTTACTGGATATATCATTTATGAATATATTCTCTTAGACTGTAAGTTGCCTTTTTGTTTTGCTGATGGTTTCCTTTGCTGTACAGAATTGTTTTAGTTTGATGCGGGCCCACTTGTTTATTTTTGCTTTTGTTTCCCTTGCCTGGAAAGACATATCGAAAAAAATTACTCATGCTTAAAACATTTACTTCTATATTGTCTCTCTTGCTGCTGTTTCTCTACCCTGCTATTTACACCAAAACAAAAAGACACAAAAGTTTTTTTTCTAATACAGAGAAATTTTAGGAGTCTAAAACTCCCAAGTAATGGAGTGAACCTTCTCCAGTTACCAAATCAGAGTTTGAACACAGTGGGATTAACTGAAGAAAATGAAGGAAATTAACAACATATGGTAATAAATGAGTCTGGAGACATTAAAATTAATTTATATGCCCAGTTTTCCATGCTAATGGGGCATTTGTGCATGCCATCCAAGTAACAGTGTATTAACTCTCAAAGCAAAGAGGGAACAAGAGGAAAGTGACCAGCAATTCTCCATCTCTTCCAATTATTAAAGCATCTTCAAGGCACGAGAGATGTTAGATAAAAGCAAGAGTTTGTTCATTTATTAGGCATGTTTTCATTGTGAACTTACTATGGTCTCCCTCTATGACACTGGGAATATAGTTATGAGTAAAAGAGACCCCAGGCCTCACCTCATGGAGCTTATAGACCAGTTGGGGAAACAAACATTAGTCAAATAAGTACACAGGTAAATAAATAAAGAACAGCAGCATTAGGTTCAATGGGCCACAAATAGGGGTTAAACAACATCGTGACAGTGCGTCTGGGGCAGCACAGGGGAAGGGGGCAGGAGCTATTACACCCTGTGCAGGTGTGAAGGGACAGGAGCATAACGGGGCATCTGAAGCTACAAGAGACCAGAAAGGCTGGAGGCGAGAGTGAGGGGGTATGAGAGGCTAAGTCAGGATAGTAAGTCGTGCACCTCTTCGTCCTGGAACAGTGGGAAGCCACAGAATGGTTTTAAGTGGGGAATCGGCCTGACCTAATCAGCATTTTTACAAGATTGCTTGCGCTTCAGTGTGTCAAATAGGTGACTGAGTGTGGGGGGTTGGGGAGGAAGAGGGGGAAAGAGGCAAAGGGGTAATAGGGGCGAGAGGCAGTGGAGTTTAGGGCAGTACTGCCGCAGCCCAGAGAGAGAGAGCAGTGCTGGGAGACGGGACCTCGTGGTGGTGAAGGACTTCAGTTACTCATTATAACTTCCTTCAGTGGAAATTTGTACAATGAGAAAATGACCTTTCTCCAGGGGGTCAAAGTGTAGATGTGCCGGAAAGCCTACAGACAGACCACGTGATCATTCGAAGTCCCTCCCTACCTCTGATGTGATTTAAATGAAGTTCTTACACCATCACACAACCAGCTTTAGGAGTAATATTTTGTTTTCTTCAGGACTATTGAAGAGATGGCCTAAAAAAATACCTCACCTGGGTGCCTGAACTCACCACTTACATTCCATCTTTTATGTGGTAAAAGCTTATCATTTTTCAGGAATCCCTTGGATAAATACCTCCTAGCAGAAAATTTTAATTTGTTCTCTGGTGAAGCCACCGATGAACAGTAGATATGAGCTAGCTGAGAACAAACTTCCGGAAAAACAGGACTGAAGGTCCTCCTTAGTAGAACTCAGAAGGTGGCAGAAGAGGGGGTGCTGAAGCAGAGTAGGGGACAAGGGAGTGGAATACCAAGGACAAACTTCACCTCCTTCCTCCAGTTTGAGGGGGCCAGCCCTGCAAATGAGGAGCTCAGGGCGGCTGCTACAGGAAGTCCTTTGCCATTTTAAACTGGTTTTACACACTAGCTTCCTTCAATAGACTATCAAACAAAAATGAGGATGAATCCCAGCCAAACATTTTCAAACTGGACCCTCCAATTATTGCAGGTGATCCCGGTAAAGACAGAAGGATGTGTCTACAAACACAGACTTTCTGACCACACAGCTCAGGGGCCACCTCTGCATGCCCACTCACTTGTATGCTGAGGGCATTCCCGTATTTCTCTATACCGTTCCTCTCTGATGAAGTTACTGAGGCCATTCCCAGGGGATCAGACTACAGCTTTCCTCTCCCTTCAGGTAGGTCTGAGTCGTGACCCATCGTCAGAAGACTTCCAACCCAAGACAAGACACTGCTTTTCTTCCCCTAAGACTGCCCTCTGCTTACACTGGAGCCTTTCCCATCTCCTGCACACTGTTGTTAAAAGGAGTTTTATTGCCAGTCTGTAAGAGTTTTCCTGGAGTTGAAGTCTTCTAAGGAAGTGTATACAGAAAGGGTGAACAGGTGGTAACCTGAATCACATTTATCTGGAGAGATTCTGTAAAATTCAGGTCCCCAGCCCTGGCTCAAATCTACTAGATCAAAATCTACATTATAATAAACACTCCATGTGATTCCTAACACCCTACAATTTAGGAATGACTGTCCTAGGCAGCTAGGGTACAGCCCTGTGTGGATGCACCGCTGTGTCCCAAGGCAGTGGGAGGGAAGGGAGGAGGTTGCAAGTGACCCCCAGCTTCCTCACCCATTCAGTGGCCTGCAGGGTTCCATTCATGGCATCTGTCAGGAATTTTGCCTCAGGCAGAAAGGTTGAGGGCTTTTCTCTGAAATTCCTTTTAGAAATGAGGTTTCAGTAATGGGAGGATGGCTCTTGGCTCATCTCCACATGGGATGGAACCACTCCTCCAGCGGGTAGTTTACAATGTAGGTGGGGAGGTCACACTGTTGACTGGTGGGTGCTCTGGGCACTTGTGGTCAGGGGCCAGAGATGCTACACATCTTGCCCATTGGGGGATTCCCACACAACGAACTGAGCTGCCCAAATGCCAGTGATAGCCAGCCTGAGACTCCTTCAGCTTTGCTGCCCCTATTATGAACCTGAATGTAGAGGTTTGCTCTTTGCCATGGAGTCCGCTCTTCATCCTATACATTGAATACAGTATATGTGTTTCTGTGTTGTGGAAGAGAGTGTATATAAACCCCTCAGCACAGTGCTTGTTTTACTCTAGGTAGCTCTGGGTGTTTCTGATTTACATTGACTTGATCGATGGAAATGAGTGGTTGAGCATTAA